TGTGGCCATGGAGTCAAACCACTTCAGGGTTTTAGTACACTCATGAGACCCTATCACATATCCAAAGGGCATCAAGATCTGTTATTATCAACCTCGCAAGCTCCCCTCCTAAGAGAACTGACACATGAGACTAATTTTAGATAAAGTAGACTCATCCTCTCTTGTTTCAAATGAGTATTCAAGTGGCTGGATCTCGGTTTTTCTTCCGCTTGATTTCATTCAGTGTGTTATTTTGGAATTTGCTTATTTCCCCTGGTTTCTTCGCAAGGTGGGAAGAGAGCCCACTTGTCTGTCGGGTATCCAGTTTCTGGGGAGAAGGTTTTGAATAAAATGAGTTGGTTGCCAGGCTGGTTGGGTTGGTGGGCTGGGTGGGTTGGATGGACGGGGTAAATTAGAAAATAAGATGAGGTGAGGGAGTTGTTTTTCCACGGAATTAGTATTAGTCTCCATCTTAATGGGAGTTTCAACACGAGACAACAAAGAAACAAAGATAATCTCACGGCTTAGACTTTCTCTCTCCACTTCACCACCATCGTCTTTGCTGCAACTACGCATACAGAGAACAAGATACATCGTTTCTTCTCATATTTCGTTTGCACTGCTCAAATCCAGTCGAATATTCCACCAACGAACGAACGCAGTAGAGTACACCTTTCCCTTTTCCGTTATGGTTTCCTCCTTCCTTGGTATGAAAATTAAGTTCTACTTTTGAGCCCGTCTTTCCTCCACATAAGCTAAATGAGAGAGTAGAAATAGAATAAAGGAAGAAGTGTTATAATTTAAGGAGGTTATGAATTAAAGGCAAATGTATGACTTTGGCGTTGATGAGTAATTTTGAAACTGGTTCTAATTATGCTAAGTTTAGTGTTTAGATCAAATCCACTGCAATTGAGCAATGATAAATATATTATATTATTTAAATGGGTGCTGAGATGAATCATACGTATTTTTCTTCATGTATGTATGAGTTTTCAATTCCAAATGTGTTTACCAGTATCTACCGCTGACCTCGTATCTCGGAATAGAATCGATAAAACATTTTATTTGGTAATGAAGCCGTAGGAGCAGATTCCCTGCCCGCTCTGAGCAATAATTAGCGTAAGATAGAGCGAAGAGCAGAAAACTCTGCGTCGTCGTGTATGTATTAGCTCGAAGGTTTTATGTGTACCACCACCCGTATCGATGATATTCGGATAAATCGTATATAGTGCCTGCAGATTATTCGACTACCTCATACCGTACATTTTCGGTCTCTGGCATAAATAGTGAAATTTCAGCATAAACAGACTAATAGATTCGCCTACCTCACACTCCTCGTATTTAGAACGGATAGATTTGTGCGTTGGAAAATCAGCATAATTGCATAAATAGCGAACCGTGGAAGGCATCATCATCAACAGTTTTCACTGAATGTGGAAAATCGAAGTCTGAAATTCTCTCGTTAATCTGCTGCGTATTTCTTTCCTCGATGCGAGCGAGATAGTCAAGTCAGCATGGGTGAAAGTTGATCCAACGGTTTTGGCTTGTTGTTTAAATTATTCTGTTTGTTGGTTTGGCCTGGCTGCTGCATTTGCCAGTCTGATATATAATATGTAGATTTACGAACTAATGGCTCTTCCCACAGAATTTCACTAATGCCTTCATTAAATTTAAAGCAGGCAGGATGGCGATGATTTATCGATTTTCCAACCGGCTGAATAATATGAATTTGGATAGCATTAATTAATTGTAATAAATTTTCACTTCTCGATATGATGTCTGCCATTACATCATATATTATACATAGCACGAGTCCATAATAATATGCTCACTTACTTATGTCATCCTGCACACATTATTATTCTAACCAGCCCGAAAGAGTATTGAATAAGGGCGGGTTTTGCTTAATATTAATGTCGTATCTGTTTCAACAGCATTGAAATTCCGGCCACATAATCGTCTATTGATTGGGTTTTGAGTCTAGCTAACAAATTGAAAATGGAAATCCGATATTTTTGGTAGAGTGGACAGATAAGTAACGTTCCTGTATGTGTTTTTGTTGCTTTTATACTTTCGATTTGGTCGAGTTGTTGTCGCACCACAAGTTGGATAAATGTTGTAACTCCATGGACAAGTTGTAAAAGGAAGAGTTAGATGCGGTATGAAATGGAGTATCTACAAGTCCAGGGTAATTGAGATGCTGGAGAACGTGCCGAAAATGCGAATGATATGCCGTGCTGCACTACACACCGAGAAAGAGAGAGAGTCAGTTAGCTTGTTGGAGTTCAAGTTGCTCTGGGGCACACTGTAAATATCACCCTCCCCACAAGATCTCATCTCTCTGCCTCTGTTGTCCAGAGATAGATAGATATGTAGCAAGTAGGCAATCGTAACCGAGTTTATGGGAGTGAGAGCGACTTTTCTCGTCCAGTTACTTATTTCATTTCGCTCTCTCCCTCCCACACGACTCGGCTTATGTTCTGTGAAATTGTTTGAATTTGACGAGGTGGAGGAGGAGGTTGGTTGGATACATGAAGGGAATAAATATTGAGTGGAAATTGAAAGGAAATTAGCTTTCAGAATCTAACTTGTTCTCTCCCAATTTCCAAAAACTATTGTAAATAAAATGTTTTACGATGTAAGAGAACACGAGTTTGAGTTAGATTGATAAGTTTTTAACCAATCTCACTAGCTCCTCTTTCACGAGAAGGTTTTTGGTGAAATGGTGAATGTGACAGGATAGAGAGTTTCCTGTGCGTCCTTCCTGTGTTCGACGCCTACTTTTCCAATGGCACCCACCACCCTTACATTTTATTCAGCTATCTCTTTTTCCTTCTGTCGGCTTCGTGTTGCTGCGGCGAAAATAGGCAGCAGCAGCAGCAGTGTGACCAAGGCGAGGGAATTTAAACAGACTGATTAATCACTTCATTCTACTAATGTCACCATTTCCACAGAGTTTCGCCGGCATCAATGACAGAGCTAAAATTGTAAAACTTATTCGTACTGAGGTATTTATTTGCGATTCGATACAAGAGTCGGACCTGCTCTCAAAATGCGTCTTGCAAAATAAAGAAAACTAAATTTTCACCTATTTACCCACCCGTAAGTCTTCATCCTTATTCATAAGCACTAGACAGAAAGATTAAGGATGGACGATGCAGTATCTCGTCCAGAGGGAGACCTGCATATATATGCTCGCCTCCTCGTCGTTTTCATATTTACATGCATACATATCCGGAAGAAGAGGAAACTCGGCGGGTGGAAGCTGATGTAAATAGTTGGTTGGACAGCGTGGCGGCTGATTGCATGGAGAGAGAGAGAAGAAGTGGGCCGGTCGGTGGTTTGGAAGTGATATTTCATAAAGGGAAAGTGGTACAGTTTTCCCCGTAATAAGAACGGAACAGCCCATGTATCCATTCATGAGGAGGAGAGGGGAAGAGATATTTTATTTTATAATGGGCCCTGCTAATATCCTAATACGATGGTGGTACTACTCGTGGTGATCGTCGTGGTGCAAGAAGGAGGCAGCCTCTGGATCCAATTGCGGATTTCAAATGGCCTGCGGTCCGCAATTTCGGTCGGGATAAAGGTTCACGTCCGCAGTCACAAAGTTCAGGACGGAATGGTCTCATATTCACTCTCATGCTGGCTGCTGCAATCCTTCTCCTCTCCTCCCTCCTTCCCAGTGGATGGATACATTTTACTTTGTTATACGGACCAACTCTGTGTGGATGAGCATGCTTCTTCCTCTTCTTCTGCTAGCGTGTCGGCTCATGGCGAACTTTCTCTTTCCACTTTCTCTCCCATTTCATTGTCCATGGCGATGTGTAGCAGGATTATCCATTTTTAATATAAATTAGCCCGTTTCTTCCTCGATTAAAATTCAAGGGAAGTGTCGGTATTTCTCTGGCGTCCTAATTTCTCTAAAATTCAGAATCTTGTTTTTTTTTACAAAAATTCTACATCCTAACGAATGAATTTAAACTTGTTGTGTATGCAGAATGATTTTATATATAAAATCTCAGTTTATATATGTATGTGTGGGGATGGCATAAATTATTTCCCTGTAGGAAGTTATCTCTCTCTCTCCACTTTTTGAGTGAGTGAGTGAGTGGTGGGTTGTTGGGAGGTTGGGATTGCATGCATAGTTATGAGTCGGGCAGAAGAACGGATGAGGAGAAGAGTGAAAAGCAAGGAATGGGAATTAAATGAACGCGTGGTGGAATGATAGCGTTGTTTCTATCAAGTGAAAGATGAAAGCTCTCTGCAATTCTTCCTCTGCTCCTTATAATTTATGGATATTGGAATGGAATAATATTTACCTGCGGGCGTCTTTCAACTACTCGTAGCACACAGACCCACCACCATCACACACCAACCCCTTTGACGATACTAATGATCAAAATGCTCCCTCTTTCCATGTCTCTGGAGCAATGCTACAGCTCTCTCCGCCGTCATTTTTAACATTTTCAACTTAATTCATATTCACTCCGTTGGAACGATGTATGCACAATGCAAAGTAAAATTTCACCACTTTCGCAACATTTGTTTGTCTTCTTGGATGGACTAATTTTCGAATTTTGAATTTTGTTTACCTTCCGGCCAATAATGTAGATGGAAAAGGCTTTTGTATATATTTTCTGATTTGAATATGACTCCACGAATTTGTATGTATGGAATTTTCTATTGTCCCACAAACTAAATGTTGTGATTATTATTTATGCGTAAAATTAAAACTTTACTTTACCACGACTTTTGTTTGTTTTGTGGTTATGTATAAAAGTGGGGATGGAACAGAGTCAGAATTTCAAATGGATATAAATTCTCTTCTACCTAAAACTTTCTCTTACATTGCGTTGCGTCACACACGACAGAGTTTTCTTCTTCTGTCCTCCATTGTATAATGAACTTTCTTTTGAAACTCCTTTCGCAACAAAATATATGTAATATGACGAAACGTGTTATTTGCTTATTTCAAAAGTTTGCCAATATTAATTTGCATTATTTATTATTCATTTCAGATTCATCACTCACTTATTCACTACATAAGTAAATACTGATTGATCGTATCACCAGACCAGACCAGAGTCACAACAATTAAGTACGACCGACATCAATTTTAATAAGTATCCAACCAACATTTTGTACCAATATTATTCTACCGTTGCTCTGTTGCTGCTATATTCATATATAATACTATTATATATTTGATCATCATCAAACCACCACTCCAGCCACACTGCCCTTTCACTTTTTGTGTGATAACTCGCAAGTTCAATTAGTGTCAGGATCATCATCGTCATCATCATCATCCTTTCAAAAGTGAAGATTGAACAGCCAAGATCGCCGACCGACCAACCAACTAACCAACCACTTGAGTTGCTGAACTTTATTCCACTCTAGTGATTCTCTCTGTTGATCTTATCTCTGATCTGATTCAACTCTGTCTCTCTTCTTCTTCTGCTGCAACTAACTTGCTAACTAATATATTTCTTGATAGACGTCGATCGTGAAAAGCGCAGTGAACCAAAATAAATACATAGAGACGTGGCTACCACCATAAGGAGAGGACGGACTTACTAGATTAACAATTTACAAGTGTCATCCTCCTCGTTGAGCAGGAATCAATAAATTCTTGTCATCGGACAATTCCAATTCGACGTGTTATATTAATAATAGGGCTCGAAATCATTAATTATTCCTCAACAAGCAACTTCTCCTCCGCCTAATAAGAAACTGCACACTTATTTCTTAACCATATACAATTTGTAAGTGCAAAGTGAAAGTTTTAATCATTTAGCAAAATGGCGACACCAGCGGATGATCCAAACGTCACGTTGACCATACGTTTAATCATGCAGGGAAAGGTAAGTTTTATGGTTTCACTATTTATTTCTTAGTTTATCGGTTGGCTCACCATTTTCACTTCGGATACTCATAAAAGTCATGGGACGGTAAAGAAAAGCGTCCAAAATTTTATGTAAAATGTGAAAGGAAATTGATTCGTATTTGGGGAAAATCTCTCAGGAATAAAAAAAAATCAGATCATCGTCATCATCACAGTGTCGCTCGCCTGCTTATAAATTTAAAATGAACCTCCCCAAAATGCGGAGGACACTATCCCCGCATTTTTCTTGGGGAAAGTGCCGCCACTTACATCACATTTCTATTGCATTAGATTAGAATACATTTTATTTTATGCCCCCCAGCGAGTAATCGGGCCCATTCAGGAGGCTATGGTGATAGATATTTGTCGTATAGTTTGGTCAATCTCTCGTCTCGGTTGAGAAAAAATTGAGATACGTTGAGGCTGCGGTATAAATGCATCAATTCATATTTTAGATTTTTTTTGTGGGCGAGAGAAAGTGATTGAACTGGGCGAACGGTAACTGTATTTCAAACTAGTACGTAGTACGTAGGTAGCCATGTTATTAAGTTACACAAAATTGCATAAGCAGAAAGTATGATATTATCATGATAAAGAACCTTTTAAGATTTCTTCTTTCTTTTCTACGCCGCGCCAAGAAGAAGAAGAAGTGGTCGGTGAGAGAGTTTGAAGATTTGAGGTTTTCGAGGATCTGCATGCATTTAGATTTCCAGGTAAAAAAGAGGATGCGAAAATTGAATATAAATTGAATAGAAAATCTTCTTGTATGGTGGTGGTGCGGGCTTGAGATTTAAAATTAAAGTCTGGCCGAGCAGGTTATTCCACGGGTTTACGTTACGTAGCAGGGGAGAGGCAGAAGCCGGAGAAAGTGAAAACGTGTAGCACGCCCACTGACAAAGTGGCTCTTAAGCAAACTTACTACATTGCTTCATTTCATAAAGAAAGGTGAAGAAAACGGGAATGAAGGAACGGGACGAACCAGAAGAAAACCTGAGATTGATTCAATTGTATTTTATTCTATGGATTCTTCCTCTTCTTCTCCTCATTCCTTCGAGTCATGTAATCAATAATAATTCAAAATTTTCTTCAACAGCGGCATCATCACACTCACAAAAATTTACTGCAAATTAGATTACAACTGACTTGTACAATTTTTTAAGAATTCGTATAATAAATAGCTTCCCTTCATCTCATATTAATTCATTTTCATATTGATTTGAATACATGAAAACAAATCCTGGAGGCGATATGCGTGTAAGGAGAACAAAGTCGAGTGGAAAATCAATAAGTCGAAAGTTCTTCTTCGTGAAAGAGGAGAAGAAGAGAAGGAATCCATTGAGAAGTTTTTGGAGAATGGAAGACATGGAGATTTTACATGAATATGGACACCAACTTACTTTACTTTCCTCTCACCCTTTTCGCCTATGCATGTTCGACCAGAGTTTTACATGAGTTGAAATGAAAGGAGAGAAAAAAAAGTGATTCTCTCTTCTCTGGGCAGAAAATAGAGCTTTCACAAGTCGACGGAAATCTATTATGTTATGCCATGAGAGAGATAATCGAAATCGAAAAATCTTTCCCCTCATACGACCACCACCACCACGACGCGTATTATATTATCCGGCCGTCCTATTGTGTCTTATCCACATGGGCATCGAATCGACATAAGAGAACAGATAATAATATGGACGAATATGTGCACATGTCACTATCACTTGTGCGCCTATACTCATCATCATCACCGCTTAAACTACCATTAGACAGGCATAGGCCGGGTTTGCCCCTCACTGGGGAAATTTATGCATTGATGAGTGGCATTGATAAATTCGGAGTGAATGCACAATGCAACCTTTAAGTAGATGGACGTGGACACGCGTTTTTTCCTCTCTCATTCTTTGTCAGTAACTTTTCTACGTACGTACGGAGCGAGATGAATTTACAACCTCCCACCTTGGTTGGATATCTTTTCACTTTTTTATCCTCCATTCCTCTACCTACATTTATTTGTCGTAAGATATTTCTTTTGACATATGGTCCGCATATCTCTCTCGAGGTGGGAGAAAGTCGTAGCTTTATACTTTCACTCGCTTCTTCTTTAATATATGAGAGGAAGGGAGGGAGTGAGTGGGGCGAGCAACATACATATTTGTGAATGAGGAAGGAGATAGAATGGAGGCAAAATTTGCGAGAAGAAGGATGGCATGAATGCCACAGTAATATTTCAGTGATGTGAATTTCACTCTGAGTGAGAGTAGCAGACCAGCCAACTCGATTCTTCTTCTTCTCCTTCTTTCTGGTGGTGGAGAGAGAGAGGAAGAAGAGTAGAAAGTGAAAGTGGAAGGATTTTATGGGATGACCATATCGTATATTTCGCGTCATGTTCAAGGCGGAATCAGCTCGGGAGAGAGAGGTGGACAGTAATAGAAATTCATGACGATGGCTGGAGCGGAAAATGTGTAAAAAATATAGGAGAGAAAAAAAGACCCACCAATCCAACAAAACTATTGGATTTCATTATACACAGAGACACGTATGTATGTACACACTACGGAGTTATGTATGTATGGCATATGCTGTCAAGACTAGTTTCGGTGTAGCCTGACCTATCGAGCATATACCGTGAGAGACCTTTCAGGTGAGGGCAAAAGCTCATTTTTCAATCAGAGTCTGCCTTCCGTTTCAGGTGTGGACGACTGCGTACGCTTTTCTCTCTCTCTTGGTGCAAATGCAGTTCTAATGGATTGTGTAGTGCGGCCAAGTTGAGGCAGCATTACTCATGATAATTGCACCAATAATCCTTCTGCAGTGAATGGATGCCCTTTTTTTAGACTACTGTCCATTTCAATTTAATCTATGTTTGTCCATTTCTTCATCTCAAATAGGTAGACACGTACGTACGTATGGAGTAAGGGCCAGGCCAGGCAGCAATGAAAAACTTTTCCTCGTTTCGTCTTCCTAACCGAGAGGAAATATTATTGTGGAGTACGTATGTAGTAGTTGATTTTATGTAGATTGATGTGTGGTGGTAGGAATGGGCGACGGTGAGTTATGACCATCGTCTAGGGGTTATCAATCCTCCTCCTTCGATAATAAAAGTCCACGAAGGACGGACGACTCTTATTTGGTTGGTCCAGCCATCAGTCGTCAGTGTATTCACCTCAATTTCACTTTCACTTGGTTTCTTCTCAATCGAAGGAGGAGGTCGAATGTAATGTCTTCTCTTCTCCGTATTGATTGACGAACTACCGACGACCGACCCGGTCAGTCTGTTGAGCTGATGCCCATCTTACTTCTTTTTCTCTCTCTTTCTCAGTCGTCGACCGGGTCAACATGTCATTCTTCATTTGATCAGATTTTCTTATCGGTTTTTGATCTCGAGAACACGTAGAGACGGTTGCGTAAGAGAGATTTGTGCCGAATGAAGAAATATTGACACATTGGGAATGCAATGCAGAATGCAGAATGAAAAACGAGTAGGTATTCGAGATAAAGCTAATTTATATGAAATACACAGATTCGAAACTAACTCGAAATATATTTGGTGGGTGGTGAAAGTACTGCACACGAAGGTCGTATAACGGAGGAAGTAGGAAAGAAAGGGAGAGAGGAAGTGGTGGTGGAAGAGGAGAAATGGGATTGCTGAATGGTGAAGAAACTTTCCATCTGCTGAATGCTGCCACTTTTCACCAACCTCTTAACGATCAACTACTTACTCACTCGTTCACTATTGACTATTCTCCTCGTCCTCGTCCTCCTCCTCTGCCTTAGCTCAGTTTGACTCTTGAGTCTCCAGCTTAAAAGTATTGAGCTGGTTGAATGCCTTTAAAAGTAGGCGTGCGATATTTCCAAGCACTATTACCACCACGACGACGACGACTGCCCATAATGCAGTGTAGTAGAAGTAGTGTGTCTTTAGATTTTCCTCAAGTGTTAGTTCCAACGAGACGATTCTGATCTGATCCACAAGAAGACGAAGAAGACGAAGAAGTGACTTCTCGGAATGGCCATTTGATTCTTCTTCTTCTGTACTTTCTACGTTGAAATAGTCACGATCTATCCACCGATGCACACGATTAAATGGGAGATAGACTGCTCAACTTACTTTTCTATTATCATTCTCCCCGACCCAGGAATGTGTCTCCTTTGTTTATTAAGGGGACAACCCACACATACTTGAACACACATCGTTCTCGTACGTAGTTAGTACCAGTCTATTCAGGACTAAATGGAATGGCTGTTTATTGAATGGAATTGATAATTCAGCCGAGTTTTACCCCTGCGTCAGCAAAGGTTTGGATTTATTAGAGGGTCGTAGCGGATGACATGTTCCCCACGTCACGTTTACTTTATTAGTCGACGAGGATACATTTGTGTGGCTTGGCTTTAAAATAAGTAAGTGTTACGCGTTTTTTATGACTTGTCATGCTGTTGACTTGACTAGAGAGCGGGATGGAGGGAGAAAGAGACAGGAAAGGGAAAGGAGGGGGCAATTTATATGGAGGGAAACCTGCTGGTTGACGTTTTTCGACAGACTAACAAACTTAATGACGTATGACCGGGTTATTTCATTTTTATGGTTTCCTCCTCCTCTCTCTGATTTATAATATTAGCAGAATTATAGACTTCGCTCTCTCTCTCTCTGCATTCATACAAAGTTCTTCTCTTTCCACCAGCTTTCACTTCACACCCGGCCAACAAAGAAAAGTTTGTCTCTCTTTGATGTCTGCTTGCTTGCCTTGCTAATCTGGAGGAACTACTGGGTGCTAATTAAATTATTGCATGTACTGCTGGCTATTCATCCTTATTTTTGCTTGTATAAATTGTATACGTACAATTTCTCCCTTTTTCTGGGTCAATTATGTACATCTATATGTAAATGCAACGGTGGATGGATGGATATATACCTACGAGTGAAATGGAAAGTATTAGGTGAGTGAATAGGCAGGTAAAGTTTATGGGTAACTTAATTTTCGTTTTCTC